GTTGGTGCAGTTGTTTGTTGATCCACAAACTTGGGGGTTTTGTTTGTGCTGCTGTCGATCGATTTCTTCAGGGTCTCGGCCATCGTCTTTTTTGGTGGGAAAGTGGGGCAGATGTTGGAAAAGTGACCAGCGGATTTACAAGAGAGACAGGATGGAGGTGCACCCCTCCAGTTTGCAAGAACAGTAGTGCCTTCATATTCCCATGTGACAGGGGCTTTCAAGGCATTGTCTTCTGGTGGAATTTGGATGATTAGGTCCCATCAGCGAGTTAAGATTTCAGTTCCTTTGTAGGTGTAGGGGGCAAGGGTTTTAACGCTGGCAAACTGGGCCCAATAGTTGGTGATATCCGCTTCCAGCTTTTTCCTTGGGACATGGAGGGGAACATTGGCCAGTTTGATTTGTAGGGTTCTGGGGGCAACCTCCTTTGGGGGGAGAGGGATGATAAGTTTGTCCTCGATGGTGATGCCCTCAGTGAGGAGGGTTTTGGTCCTAGTTGGTTCTTTAAGGGTGACTTCAAGGAAGTTAGTTTCTTGACGAAAGGCAATGCCATTGATGTAGCCTTTGAGCGTTTCAAAAAGCTGCTCTTCAGTTACAGGCAAGCTGCGAAGGTCAAAGAAGAGAGAGTTTTGTAGGTCAGTCTTGGGGACTTACCTGTTAGAGACATAGGCATCAAACTTAAGTTTACATTCAGTGTTTGCAAATGCAAAGGGAGAGGGTTTTTTGGTTGTTGGGCCCTTGTTTGGGTTTTGGGAAGAAGAGGCTATTGCCTTTTGTTTATTTTTATTAGTGGACATAGTTAACTATTGATAACCTTTTAAGACTCTCTTGATGGAAGGTTTCTATCTTTTACTGCGGAATTTTTGGCTACAGAGCAAAAGGGGAAAGAGAGTCGCGGGGTGTATGATAATGCAATGATTGACCTTAATAAATCGTTGGAAATCGAACCAGATGATGCATATGCATTGAGCATAAGGGGATCTGTCTATCGATGTCTAGGACAATATGACAATTCACTGAATGATCTTAACAAATCGTTGGAGATCGTACCAAATGATGCATGGACATTGAGGGAAAGGGCAGATGTCTATCGATGTCTAAAACAGTATGATAATTCATTGAATGACCTTAACAAATCGTTGGAAATCGAGCCAGATGATGCATGGGCATTGAGCAGAAGGGGATCTGTCTATCGAAATCTAAAACAACACGACAATTCATTGAATGATCTTAACAAATTGTTGGAAATCGAACCAGATAATGCATGGGCATTGTGGGAAAGGGTAGCTGTTTATCTTGATCTAAAACAATATGACAATTCACTAAATGATTTGAACAAATCGTTGGAAATCGAACCCAATAATTTATTTGCTTTGAATGTAAGGGGACAAGTCTATTGATGTCTAAAACAATATGATAATGCACTGAATGATTTTAACAAAGCATTGGAGATCAAACCAAATAATGCAGAAACGTTGAAACTATGGGGAGCTGTTTATCTTGATCTAAAACAATACGACAATTCACTAAATGATTTGAACAAATCGTTGGAAATCGAACCCAATAATTTATTTGCTTTGAATGTAAGGGGACAAGTCTATCAATGTCTAAAACAATATGATAATGCACTGAATGATTTTAACAAAGCATTGGAGATCGAACCAAATAATGCGGGGGGGGGGGGCATTGAGAGAGCGGGGAGAAGTCTATCGATGTCTAAAGCAGTATGATAATTCATTGAATGATTTGAACAAATCATTGGAGATTAAACCAAATGATGCATGGGCATTGAGTGTGAGAGGTCTTACTTATGGTTTTCTTGAACAGTATGACAATGCATTGAACGATGTTAACAATGCACTAGAAGTCGAGCGAGATTATGTACTTGCATTGACTGTAAGAGGAGACCTCTATAATGATCTCAAACAATATGATCGGGCGTTATGCGATGTTAACAAAGCATTAGAAGTTGAGCCGAATAATGACTATGCATTGAGTGTACGGGGGTACATTTATCGTAATCTCGGGCAATATGATAGTTCATTAAGTGATCTCAACAAATCATTGCAGATTACTCCAAATGATGTATATGCGTTAAAAATTAGGGGTGAGACATATCTCATGCTCAAACAGTATGATAATGCATTGACCGATTTGAATAAATCATTGGAAATTGATTCTGATTATGTTGACGCATTGACCGTGAGGGGAAACGTTTATCTCGATCTAAAACAATACGACAGCTTGTTAAATGATCTCAATAAATCACTAGCGATAAAGCCACGTAATGCGCGTGCGTTGAGAATACAGGGTCATGTCTACTTCAATCTTAGAGAATATGATGATGCATTAATTGATTTCAACAAGTCATTAGAGATTGAACCAGATGATATGTCTGCATTGAGCATGAGAGAAAAGATTAATGAAATGCTCAAGCATCATAGTAGTAGTAGTAATGCAGATACGCTGGACGGTTAACCAGTGCTTAAATTGTTATATATTGGAGATACTTGTTCATTATGTCAAATGTTATTTTCAAACTCTAAGTGTACGTCAAAATAGAATAAAATAATTCTCATGTTTATCATTCTACTCCATGTATGGAATAACCCTTCTGACCAGTGCTGTGTTAATTATTTACACGTATTAGCTCGAATAAAAGCTCTAAACAAAATTAACCTCCTAAGTTCTGAAACCCTTTTTTTTTATTTCTCGACATAATTTAACTAATTTTTGCTTTAATCTGCCGTTGTTCAACAAAATTTTGACTAGACGCGCGCGTCAAGGTTACGTCAGCAATTGTGGGAGAATTGATTATTGTTCATTGCATCGGTTATATTGCTATTATCAGTCGATTAGGTTAAAATTTACCGTATAACATAAAGCATGTGCTTCTTCGAAGAAAGATAAGCAGTTTGTGTTGTTCTTTAATTTGTAAAGCGTATAACCGAGCCGTTTACTCAAGACTGAAAACTCAAAAAAGACCCGCACTAACGCAGTTTAAAGACGATATAGATTTCACACTCGAGTATCTGTTTGGTGGCTGTATCCAAGTTACTGTTACTAGGACTTTTTGCAGCCACACCTGTAAATTGTTATTTTTCGAATAATTATTGGTATGTGTATCTGAATGCACGCTACCGTTAGGTGTAATTGGAGGTGTAAATTAATCAAAACGTTACCGACAAATAGCTGCATATTCTACAGATTTGTAGCGAATAAGATACGTCGAGGAAATACTTGTAGTTTGGTTCTTATCGTAAACGATTGTTTACCGTAAACTTTCTATATCTATTTTAAATGTGCTGAGCTATCTCGAGCTGTTGTGAATTAAAAGCGCGTCGTAATTACAGATTGCAAAGTTTATCCGTCAAGCACCTCAGTTCTGACTTTGGTAAACTACACTTGCTGTCATTGGTTTTGACCCGGTTACTCTCTCTTTGTTATACCATTTATGGTAGCAAAAAACTAACTGTCTACAAACGCTCTTTCAAATAAAGGATTTAATCACAAAAGTATTACAATAGATAAACAAAGAAACAATGCTTCTGGTAAAACTGAATTTACTAGTTAAAGCAATAGAAAAAAGTACAGACAGAGGGCTCTAAAACTCTGTATTTAAGCATGATTCTTTTTTTAAGACATGTGTTTTTGTATATACAGTGGGTGACCAAAAGTCTCCGACCACCCCTTAAAATTTTCGTTGATCATGCATAACTCCGTAAAGAAACATC